CCGCTGAAGAGGGCGTTCTCCTCCTCTAACACGAGCACCAAGTGGTCAGTGGTGTGTCCGGGAGTGGCCACCACTCGAAGGGTCACCCCATCCGCAGACAACTTCTGTCCGTCACTCAAGTAATTCAATTTGAAGGCCGAAGAGTACTGTTTGTCGTGTTCTTCGCTACAAATCTTATATATTTTGCACTCTTTTCGCAATAAAACTCATTATTTATGAGACAATTCGTGTCAAAAAACGTTTATCAATACCAGTGTCTGAGAGGCGAAGTGTGTTCAGTACGTCCGCCACACCTCCGATGTGGTCGTGATGCCAGTGAGTGATCACTATTTCAGACAATTGGATGTCATTGTCATCGATGACTGTCTTGAGATTCGCCACATATTGAGGAATATTGGGTTCGCCGGTGTCTATGAGTAGACGCTTCCGACCCCTTCCCACCAGACTATTGAGTCAATTCATTAGACAATCAGTGGTACAGTAATGAGGAATAATTAAAGACATACTAAGTGTTGGTTCCCTGAAGTGTCATAAGACCCGGATTACAGCCCAAGACACGGGTAATGAGTGGACTTAGTTTAGTGACTTTCGGTATAATTGCACTCATTTTGGACACTATTTGTCAAAACAATTAAACTGATCCTGGTATTACTGATACAACAAATTACCGGTGGTGACAAGTGGTAGCTAACAATTGACTATGAATTGAAAACTTGAAAAGTTTATCTTAAAATCATTGATAAGTTAAACAAACTTTTTGTTGGACTTAAAACTTTACAGTTAAATGTCAAAACATAGTCTATGGGGTGTTCATTGAAAACGCTACGATAAACACACACACTTTTGGTCCCCCATTATAACAGTTTAGTGCAAAATGAATGAGACTTATGCTATTTAATAAATGCCCAATGACATTTTAGTACATTATGTATGAATGCATTTGTGATTTCATAATATGTTTACAAAATAAAGTTTAAAAACCATAAAAATGTCTCAAATATTGATCACAAGATGTTTCGTAAGATTTCATTACTTTGTAAATTCAGTCAAATATCTGTCATTTGGGACACAAATCATGCAAAAGTGTAGACTTTTAAACACATTGAAAGAGATCTCAAAGACTACTCTTAAGACAAAGCAATGTCTGTCGAGAAGTGATAATAAAGTGTCGACTAATACGCCGAAGCATTTGTGGTAAGGATTTGAGTGAAAGATATTTTATGAATACTATATGACATGTCTTATGATAACCATTGAGGTGTTGGGATATAATCACTGGTCTATTGCTATGGTTGGGAGTCATCGAAGAGCCGGAAGACCCGCTGATATTAACCATAAAAAGAGG